CAAGTGATTTTAAAAGTAGGATGGCTCACTTTTTATAAGATGACTGAAAATTTTACTTGAATTCGTAGTTTATTCTTACTTTTGGAAACCTAATTGATTTATAATTACTGTTATTATTATTATTATTTCTGTTGTTTCTAGAAGTAGCAATTTTGATAATAGTCAATAGAAAAAATATAACCACACACATTGTTTGTCCACAGAATAATTACACATTATTAAATAAAAAGCGTCCCCGCACGAACCTCTACCTCCGCCAGCAGGACCTCAATTTCAGACTAAGTAAAAAATGTTTTCTTCTTTGTGCTCGTCATTCTCAAGCATAGAAATTCGGATATTGGCATGTGCTCTTTTATATGGTAATGATATTAATTAGGGGGCGTTTACAAGGCGGAGATCTGACACCAGTCAGCTGCGCACAATTTCCAGATCATTTGCGATTTATAAATGTCACATCTGGAAGACAGGCGTACACACTTGTTTTTGTGCGCACGTTCGTTTTTTCTGAATCGCACTTGCACACTTTTGAGAAATGATCTTAGAACAAATTTAGTACGGTTTATACGCAACATTTTATAAATGAGGCCCCAGGACTTCTGTTTTCAATAGGGCTGAAACGATTCCTCGAGTAACTCGAATACAAAAAATCATCAAGGCAAATAAAAAAAGAGGCTTCGTTTAGTCCATGTACTGTAACTACACATGGAACACCTTGTTTCCCCATGGACCGTTATTACTGACTGCTGACGTGCTATGATTTCTGACAGGCAGTTCACGCTCCTGTGATGTGACCCTGTTCCTCTCACACACACACACATACACACACGACGCGTTACTCTGCGCTGCGCAAAACTCCGCATTTGAACAGTCAATAGCAAATACTTAAACTAATAACAAAACATACTTACAGTTGAGGTGTTTAAAAATTGTGTATGTCTCTTGTTCTTGTTCCAAGTTACCTTCCTGTCCACTGATTTTTGCCTCTCACAAAAGCCACAAAGCCTTCCAAGAAGACAGTAAAGGCTTATGTTATGCTTGAGCTTTAGTTAGGCTGAAACTTGAAAGTTAAGTTGCATAACTAAATGCAATGTTTAGGTATTATTCTTTTTTTTATTACTATTATTTTGATTTATGCCTTAGTTTTAGTTTGTACTGTTTACCTTTTTTAAAGAAATGTGAAATTGATTTTTGTATTTTTATTTATTTCTTTTTATTGATATATTTGGATTTGCATTTTGGATGCAATTTGGCAATTAAAAACATTAAATGGGTTTAGTTTTTACGGTTATTAATGTATGCAATTTCAGCAATAAAAATGTAAATTTTTCTAAAAAGAAAACAAATTTATTTTTTTATTTTAAGAGATCGATCTTATCTTTTGTATATTTAGTATTGCTCTTTAATAAAGAAAAATGACTTCTTATCCGATTACTCGATTAATCGATGGAATAATCTGTAGAATACTCGATTACTAAAATAATCGATAGCTACAGCCCTAGTTTTCAATAACTAATACATTGCATAATAAATGATAACTGTTTTGAAATTATTTTTTTTTATTGATATATTTGTATTTGCATTTTGAATGTAATTTGACAATTAAAAGCATTAAATACATTTTTGTTTTCACGGTTATTAATGTATGCAATTTCAGCAATAAAAATTTTAATTTTTCTAAAAAGAAAACAAATTAGTTGTTTATTTTAAGAGATCTATCTTATAGATCTATCGTATATTTAGTATTGCCCTTTAATAAAGAAAAATTACTTCTTATCCGATTAATCGATGGAATAATCTGTAGAATACTCGATTACTAAAATAATCGATAGCTACAGCCCTAGTTTTCAATAACTAATACATTGCATAATAAATGATAACTGTTTTGAAATTATTAAATTAATGTCTTTAGAACTTATTGTGATGCAAAAATTAAGTCATGGTTTTGTGGCTTTTCATTTGCTAATTCACTAATGGATTCACCGAAGTTAAACTTTAGTGCACAGTGAAAGACAAAGGGTTTTTCGCATATACTTGTGTACTCAGTCTCCTGTCTTTGTATGCGTATGAGTATTAAAAGTGTAGAGTGGCCACCACTTTATATAGAAGTAGGTAGAACAATAAAATGATCATATGTAATTACTGATTAAACAGTATCTGTCACACTACTGTTCAATCTTTTGTAGTCTGCACTTTTTTTTTAAATGAATGAATACTATTCAGGAAGGATTCATTAAATTGATTAAAAAAAATGACAAAGAAAAATGACATTTATAATGTTGCAAAAGATTTCCACTTCAAATGCATGCTGTTCCTTTGAACTTTCTATTCATCAAAGAATCCTGAAGAAATGTTTTCAACATTGATAATAATCAGAAATGTTTCTCGAGCAGCAAATCAGGATATTAGAATGATTTCTGAAGGATCATGTGACACTGAAGACCGGCGTAATGATGCTGAAAATTCAGCTTTGATCACAGGAATAAATTACATTTTAAAATATATTCAAATAGAAGACAGTTATTTTAAATTGTAATAATATTTCAGAATATTACTGATTTTCTTACATTTTTGATCAAATAAGTGCAGCCTTGGTGAGCAGAAGAGACTTCTTTCAAAAAAAAATTAAAAAGTCTTACTGAACCCAAACATTTTAATGGTATTTTAAACTACATTAGACAGGTAAATGGACATTAATGGTAATCTAATACTTACATTGAAACACGAGGTTTTATCATCCAAATGCAACCCAATCATGTGAAAAGCTGCAGTCAAACACATGAAGGCTGTGTCTTTACTGAGGCTTTACAGAATCATCTCGAATGTGCTCTGAGGTTAAACCAGGCTTTACATAATTCTTCAAAACCAGGTAAAAATGGCCAGTGAGGGGCTTTTCGTGGTATACAGGAAATATGATGCATCTTGTGCGAATATGTAGGGCTACAAATTTTGAGTTGTGTGTGTGTGTGTGTGTGTGTGTGTGTGTGTGTGTGTTTTCATAATTTTGGTTTGTTTAGGCAGATGATTGTGTTGCAGCAGTTCATGCCTGTTAAATCAACACTGGTCTAACTCATTTGCTCTATCTCTCTTTCTCTCTGTCTTTCACTCTCAGTAAGAACAGGCTGTCTTCCACCATGAACCCGGTGTACAGTCCCGTGCAGCCGGGAACCCCATACGGAAACCCCAAGAATATGGCATACACAGGTATGTGATGAGAGACACACACGTGTATTTGAAGACAGCACAACATACTTTATTAATAAATGCTTACTATATACAACTCATCAGTGCATGCTGAAAAAAAGAGGTTTGTTTTCATGATCTCTCATTAAAATGTAATGATCCAGCAATGAGAGGACATTTCTGCAAAAAATGCAGTTTTTATCATCACTGACGGCAGGGTTCGTCTGATGAGCAGGAATGCTGCAGTGTGTGCATTAATGCAAACTTCACCTCTCACCTCTGTTCAGTGTTTGTTAGTGTGTGTGTGTGTGTGTGTGTGTGTGTTTGCGTTCATGCATGTAGAGCCGTGTAAGTGTTGTGTGCATCTGTGTCACTCATGGCAGGTGTTTGTCTGCTGCTATGGCAACGGTGGGCTCATATTTGATGTGCTCTTATTAAAGGGATTCTCTGGGTCAATAGAGACTGTTTACATGCCAGCATCTCTCTCTCTCTCTCCCTCGCTTTCAGTCTTTTCATAATGCCTTTCTGCCGTGACCAAGAGGAAAATGTTATTACTTAGAGGTTTTCTCACTTACGATTCAAGTATCAGTTTTATTTTAGAAAATCCTTTTGGAGAAATAAAAATAGAGACAGATGTGACAGTTGTCGACATACAGTGAAAGTATCTCAGTTAAGCTGTAATTGTATAATAAGCAGTAATTTGATGGGAAATGAATCGACTTTGGTATCGAGACAAATTTGAGCACAATTTAAGATTGTTGAGACCTCTTCTAAAACTCTACAAAACTCTGCGCTTATGCAGTTAGAGGGGAGCTGGTCATTAGTTAGTCAGGGTAGTCTTGAATTTATTAATTGAATTTATTTGATTATTATTTGAATCTAACAGGATGTAAAATAGTAAATTGAATTGAATTTGAATTAAGTAGAATTAAAATGTAATCATATTCCCATAATATGAGACTAAATGTATACATATATAATTTTTTTATTTTAATTATATGCATTTTTTATTTTATTAATACTATATATATATATATATATATATATATAATTAAATATCTTGGGGAAACAATTGATGTATTAAAGAGATCTTATTTACTTTATTATGCGTAAGAGCATAGGAACTATAGGAACTAATATAGTACTAATATTTACCTAATATTTACCTGATATTTTTATTAAAAATGTAGTTTCTCGACACATTCACTTACCCAGAAAGACCCAAATAAAAACAGACTTCCAGTGAGAGAGATTCCCCATAGAGGACAAGACAGACAGCACACAGGTTATTGGACACTTTCTTATAATAACTGTGTGGCATTAATAAAGTACAAGTGGTTCTGCATGTCTGTCACAAATGCAGGTCGATGCAGGAATGAACTTAAGTGAATGAATGATCAAATGAAATTTTAAAGTCCCGTTTTAAAGAAAGTTGCGGGTCAGTGTACATGCAGCTGGAGAGAGTGTTTGTATCGGGACTGGAAACCCTTGTAATCAAATTGTGTCTTTGTGAGCACTGCTCAACGCATGGATGACTTTTCAGGTCATTTTAGTGGAGAGAATGTATAGGACACTCTGTTCCTACAGACAAACAGTCTGATCTTCTGGTATCTACATAGACGAATATCACCATATCTTAGGATATAATTTGGTGTAGCTTGGAATGCTTTTAATGCATTTTTGTCTATTTAAAAGTGAAGTATGTTACTTAAAATAATTTTACTTGCTGAATGAGACCACTATATTTTTACCATTTAGCTGATTCCCAAAAAGTTTGCGGCTTTCAAAGTGTTGTTTGGGAAACTAGTTAGAAAACAGTCATTCTGTTTCCATTTGGTGCAGATAGTAATATGAAAATGACAAATTTCAGCTTTAAAGGGATACTCCACCCCAAAATGAAAATGTTGTCATTAATCACTTACCCCCATGTCGTTCCAAACCCCTAAAAGCTTCGTTCGTCTTCGGAACACAATTTAGAGCTCTGGGGGAACGGGCACTTGAGGGCGCTCTGGAAAGTGCTTACGAGGAGCGGGCACTGGAGCGAGCTCTGGGGCTGGAGCCGACACTGGAGCGAGCTCTGGGGCTGGAGCCG